ACGCACAGAAACGCACGACAGTTATCGACCCATTAGCTTGTACTAGTTCTAGTACTACTGCTGCTGCTGCTGCTGCTACTACTACTACTACTACCACTACTACTACTAGTACTACTACTGCTGCTGCTGCTACTACTACTACTACTACTACTACTACTACTCCTACTGCTACTACTACGACTACGACTACGACTACTACTACTACTACGACTACTACTACTACTACTACTGCTACTACTGCTACTACTACTACTACTACTACTACCACTATACGACTGTGAGTATTACGACGATTACAGAAACTGCTATTGCTGCTGCTGCTGCACGACGACTACTACTGCTGCCACTGCTGCACTTCTTTACCAATACAACGACGGCGTGTGACTCCGCGCTGCGAGACTGTTTACGCCCCGTGCAGCAGCTTCTTTCGGTGCTTGTGGTTTAAGGCTTCAGGATTTGAGGGTTTAGTGTTGAGGGTTAAATCTAGGTTCCTGAGTAGTACCCTTTTGCACTTTTTATTGTATGGTTCCCTTAGTAAAAATGCATAGCAGGAAAAAGGGTACCGTTATTATTCAGGGGTCACTCAGGAACCTAGAAATTCTTCAGACCCTACATCCCGAAGCGTTCAGAACTATAGCTCCAAGCTGGGAATGCATTACTCTGAGTCATGCTTTGGTGTGTTCCAAAATCGAAACCCAGAGCCCTCCCAAAGTGCAGGCAACTTTCATGGTAGGGATGTTGGTTTCGTGCAGGTGGCATGCGGCAAGCTAGAAGACCCGAAACAATGAGATGAGGAGGTTTCAGATGCATCTTGTACATGAAGGAAGGTCAGGCTGCAGTCCATGCACTGCTTGGTTTGTGCCATGTTCGTACATCGAGGGTCCAGTCTTTGCATCATAGATTCAAGTGGCCACCTTCTCAGATCCCTCCCCTCCTTCGTGCGAGCAAGATGGGCAACTGCAACAGCAGCACCGCGAACACCGAGAGCGTCGAGATCGCGGGCGAAGATGCAGTGAAGCACCCGAGCCTGCTGTCCATTCCCCTGCGCACGAACATGAAATTTGGGTGGAAGCCTGACATGCCTGATCATCGCGACTAGGCCAATGGATAGTGATGCGCTGTCCTTAAGGATCCTTCCTCTTTCTTGCCTGCCCGAAAACCCGAAATCCCGAATAGTACAGTATCTCCCTGGCACAGGCTCGTAGACGCCTGTGAGTTGTAGTGTACACTCTCGAAAAGATTTGCCTCTATTCGGTAGCTTGTAGCCTTTCCGCAGGTTCATGTTTGTTTTAGTCGGCATGATTGCCAGCAGCCTCTACACCTAATCAATGCTTGTTTGCTTGTGAAACTTGTGTGTAGGGTCGAAATAAATCCCTCAGCCCCTACATCCGGAATAAGTAGGGATACGAAGGATCCTTAATTCTCAAGGCCCCTAGATCAAACCCCCAGATCCGTTCCTAAACCCCCCGAAAGCCCGCCCAAAGCCCTAAACCCTACCACCACCCCCCAAGGGCCCTTGAATAGAGCCGCTATAGTCCTTAATAGTGGGTATTTAGGGTATATTAGAGGATAGTTTGGGGTCTAGGTAACCCAGGTGCCCTAAACCCCGAACCCTAAACCCTAAACCCTAAACCCTAACCCAGGTGATCACCACGTGACCTTCGACGCCGTGAGCACGCCCAGCCAGATCAAGAGGAAGAGCGAGGGATCCCTGGCCGGTTTAGGGTTTAGGGTTTAGGGTTTTGCTATGAAGGGTGAACTCTTTATGTATATCTCTTTATAGAATATGGTATCTTACGCATGTTACTATAAGGGCTACTGTTTAGATGAGATAAATAGATAAATGGACAGGTAGATAAATCGATAGATAGATAGATAGATAGGACAGGATAGGATAGGATAGGATAGGATAGGATAGGATAGATAGATGACATCTTTGTATAATCGGGTGTATTTCAAGGGTGACTACAATTAAGGCTCATGGGAAGGGGTGTTGTCAAGGGTTCTATAAGGGTTACTGTACATGTCGTGCTTTAGGGCATTGTAGGTAATCCGTTATATGTATGTATATATATATATATATGAGTGACGATGAGTGCTACGATAAGGGTTTAGGTCCTGGGGCTTTACCAGTCTTGGGGGTTAAGGGTGTTTTGGTGTAAGGATCTGGGCTTCAGGCTATCCTACGGCTTGAGGGTTTGGGAATTTAAGGGTTAGGTGCGCGAGGCCTCAAGAAGGGTTATACAGTATGATTTTCGGGTTTGGGGTGCAGAGGTTTTAAGGTTCAGCTTGCGGAGTTTCCGCGTCTCATGGGTTAAGATAGAGAGGTTTTGGGATGATGTTGGGATTTGGGTTAGCTTCAGGGGGTTACATACAACAAGGAGCATACGATTTAGGGTTTGTATCGAGTTTGTTAATATAGGGGCCTAAACGATTACCAATACTAGTCTGGGGGTTCCTTATTATAAGTACTGTATAGGATACCCCAAAGCCCTGTTCTAATCATTAAGGTCCCTACATGATGGGCTGCCGGATTTTAGGATTAAATCTACTATGGGTTTAGTTGTTCAGCCCACATGCACGGCAATGTCGTGAAATAGACACGGGGGGCGGGAGGGGGGGGGGGCAATGCTGGCAAGTTGCGGCTTTTAATTTGAGCTCAACGAATCTAAGGAGAGAAGGAGATCGTTGACCTTCGACCCATGAACGGTGGCTTCCCCATCTTTGACCAGGGACACCTTGGCAGCTGCACAGCAAATGCTTTGGCAGCAGCCTTCCATTTCACCCTCCACAAGATGACGGTCGAGAACCACAAGGATTTCGCAGACTTCACCCCAAGCCGACTGTTCATCTACTACAACGAACGCCTCGTCGAGGGCAGCGTGAACCAGGATGCCGGTGCCATGCTCCGCGATGGCATCAAGGTGATGTCGAAGGTTGGCGTTTGCCCAGAGAGTGTTTGGAAGTATGATGACCAGCATGACTTCTTCAAGCAACAGCCGGACGAAAAGTCTTACGAGCTGGCGCAGAAGTGTAAGGTGGTGGGCTACGCCCGCGTAGCGCAGGATTTAAGTCAGTTCAAGATGTGCATCAAGAACGGCTACCCCTTCGTCTTCGGTTTCGCGGTCTTGTCAAGCTTTCAAACGGCAGAGGTTGCCAGGACGGGCAAGATGGTGATGCCCCAGGCAACTGACCAGCAGCTGGGCGGCCATGCCGTGTGCGCCGTAGGCTACGACGACTTCCAGCAGTGCTTCATCGTCCGCAACTCCTGGGGAGAAGGGTCACTTGTTTCAACTTAGCTGGCCTATGTTGTATGGTGCCTTAACCGAAAACACCTCTAACGTGGGTCTTCCGTAAGGTGGGGTGACAAGGGCTACTTCTACATGCCCTACGAGTACATGTGTCACCCTGCTCTTGCCCATGACTTCTGGGCCATCAACTGGGTGGATGGCTTCAAAAACACCAGGAAGGGGCAGCCTACGTGCCTTGGCGTCGTTTACGGCAAGCTAGAGCATATCATGGATAAGAAGGGCCCGTGCCTGAAGTCAGATTCAGCAAGCCATCAAACTAGCGAGGACAATACCATAGGACCCTTATTCGGAAGACGTTTAAGGGGCCCCAAAACCCTATTCTAATTATTAAAGCCCCCACACTAGCAAATGTGCGTGTACTTGTGGCCAAGGGTCACACAACCTGAGCTCCACTTCTGCCCTTTGAGCCTTCTTCGAGGTCCATCTTTTTTAAAGGGAATATAGGGGCCTTAAGGCATTAGAATGCTTCGAGGTCCATATTTTTTAAAGGGAATATAGGGGCCTTAGGGCATTAGAATGGGGTTTCGGGTGTATGTTACACTATGACTGTACTCATGACCCCTAGTTCGCAAGGAACAGGCGAGGAGTCGGGGTCCCACTCAACCCTAAACCCTAAACCCTAAACCCTAAACCCTGAACCCTAACCCCGAACCCCTAAACCCTAAACCCTAAACCCTAAACCCTAAACCCTAAACCCTAACCCCTAAACCCTAAACCCCTAAACCCTAAACCCTAACTCAACTGCCGAAGCCAAGGATGCCCAAGAACCCTCTGGTGAGCAGCTTGCCGACGCGCTCCATTCAGAAGTTTGGTTGGAAGCCGGAACTTCGGCTGAAGCTTGGGTTAGGGTTTAGGGTTTTGGGGTTTAGGGCTTATTGTTAGGGTTTAGGGGTTTAGGGTTTTGGGGTGTAGGGATTAGGGTTTAGGGGTTAGGGTTTAGGGTTCAGGGTTTAGGGTTAGGGGTTTAGGGGTTTAGGGTTTTGGGGTTTAGGGTTTAGGGTTTAGGGCCAGGGTATTAGGGTTATTCGAGTTTAGGGTGTTAGTCTCTACTCAGCCATTTGGGCATCAGGTTCAGGGGCTCTTGTCTACTGCGGAGCGCTCGGCTTCTAGGCATGGGGGTTGAGGTTTGGACCCAGCTGAAGTGGGAAAGTCTAGGCTTGAACTCTGAGTTCTAGATAATAGAGTCTTGAATGTAAGGGTTTAGGGACCCTGCTTTTGTTTGAGGTCTTAGTCTTCAGGCTATGTCTGGATTTGCTTAGGGTTTATATAGGGCCTTGGGGGGTGTGAGAGCTGTGGTTTGTAGGATATGTTAAGATTGATGGTTGTAGGGCTCCGGTATGTTCGGGGTCATCTCGTGTGGAAAATCAGCATCTAGCTGTACTTGTCTGACAGGTATTTTCGACGGGCGGGATCTTCCTAATTGCAAAATCTCACTTATGATCTATGTATTAAGTCTCCCGGATCAAGACATTTGTTCAAAGACTGGGGAGCCTGTTATTGACAACCCTTGAACCATTCATGGGTTGTTTTATTGACCAGGAGTCTACGTTAAGGGCTGCCAGAAGAAGTTTGCTGTCTGAGGTCATAAGGTTTGGTGGCTTAAGAAATTTTGGAACACAACATACCAATCGAAATCGTACATCCCCTCACATAAGGTACCCTTGTTTTCAATGTTCTGGAATTCTATTTGCGCGAGTTGTTTGCTCATTCTTGGCGCGAGTCGGCTTTCGGGCGTCTGTCCGGGGGCTTCAGGTGCACATGGTTTCGGCTATCGGGTTGAGGGTTTAGGGTTAGCGTAAGTTTAGGGTTCAGGGTTTAGGGATTGGGGTTCGGGGTCTGGAGCTTTCAAGATTTAGGAGTCAGGGTCGATTTCGTTTCGGAGCGATTTCGACCCACATGCGCGCACCGGCCCTATCCACCGGGATGCCGAACTAGTGTAAACACAAAAGCTTGGACCGTGCACCTTTTTGGGCGTTGCAGGGCGGGCACAATGCTCCCAGCGCAAGGCCGAAATTTAGAGGTCCGAAAGAAAGTTGCTCTGATAGACATTTTTCTGAAAACTCCAGGATATGCCGGACCACCGTGACCTCCATGTCACCTTCCCCAAGGTGGAAGCTCCCACGAAGACTCTTGGTGGCAGCAGCAGTTTTTGCATTACCTATTTGCTGGGTATAGACTCAAAGCTTCAAGCAACAAATTGTCCGCAAGACTTACCAAACACCCGAAGCCCTAAACCGACCATCCGTGGATTCTGGATTCAGGAAGGTTGTCGCTGAAAGCTTGGGTTTGGGGCGTCGGGGGCGTGATTACAGTCTCTAGGTGGATGCCTGTTCTCCTTCAGGGATGTAGAGTTTCGGATGTAGGGATAACCCTAAACCCCCCAAACCCCTTCCTGGCAGGGAATTTCGGCTACTAAGCAGCCGTTGACGTACGGCCTGAACTGAATAGATAAAACAAGCCCTAGCTGCTCCTCAACAGAGAAACACCCAACTGCCAGGCCTACGGCCTGAATCGCCACAGTTCGAAGTCTTGAATTGAAGATGGAATGTAGAAAGGCGAGGTATCGTGCGGCACCAATGTGCAACTTTCTCTAAACCCTGAACCCCTACACCGGAGAAGGGGCGGAACTCTGAGCCGGAACCCCTTGGAGCCTCAGGCTCCGCATCCTCAGCTGCATCGCTGCGTCCCAAAGCTCTAAACTCTAAACCCTAAACCCTAAACCCTAAACCCTAAACCCTAAACCCTAAACCCAAGCTAAAAAGCTCGGAACCGTCTAAGGATCAAGAAGAAGGCCGAGGGACAGAAGGAGATCGTGGACCTTCGCCCCATGAACGGCCGGGCCTCCTAACCTACCTGCGGGGTTTAGGGTTTAGGGTTTAGGGTTTTCCGTTGAGGGTTGGAGGGTTTAGGCTGCTGCTGCTGCCCCTACTTATCTTGCTACTTCTTCTAAGAGCCTGCTTCTCCTGACTCCTCCTCCTCACTACTACTACCGCTACTACGGCTCATTACTAGGACTACTCATTACTACGACGCTCCTCTTCCTACTCCCCCTACTCCTATTCCTACTCCTACCTACCACTACCACGATGCCCGAAACCCTTTTCCCAAGCGTTGGGGTGTCAGGTGGCTTCCCCATCTTCGACCAGGGTCATCTGGGCAGCTGCACGGCAAACGCCTTGGCAGCCGCCTTCCATTTCACGCTCCACAAGATGGAGGTGGAGAACCACAAGGAGGGCTTGTTTGGTGCTTTAGGGCTTGATAATAGAGTCAGAAGAGAAATTCTCAATACCCCTAAACCCAAAACCCTTAGAATACCTATGAGGGGCAAGATTAAGGATCCCCTGATAAGAGGATCAAGACTAGGGATCACTTTGAACCCTAAGTTCACAAACAAACGTCACGTCTAGGCTATAGAGATGGGCGGCAGCACAAACACAAGGACAGAAGTATGTAGTTGTAGGGTTGAGGGCTTAAGGTTTAGGATTCCGAACTGTGAAAGTGGGGGGGGAAGCGCGAGGCTGTCGGGTATGTGTCTCATAGGGCTTAGGGTTCTGGGATTCAGGAAGGCTAGGGTCTAGAGATGGAGATTGGAATTAGTCTGTGTTCGGCTTTACGGGTTTAGGGGGATATAGAGTTCTTGTTTAGAGTTGGATTGATTGTTTTCGAGGGTGTTGCAGTTGCGGGTCTTCGGAGCTCCACAGAAAGGGCTTCTAGTCTGAAGGTTTTCGGGTTTACCTTCAGAACCCAAAACCCACTTTTTTGTAGGTTCTTATTATAAACCCTAATATGGGATTTATAGGGACCCTACAAAAAAGCAGGTTTGGGGTTCTTAAGGTAGGGTTTAGGGCAAGTGCGATTGTTCAACCTCGGAATCTCCTACGAACGCCGTAGAGCTCCAGCCGTGAACTTAGATCCAGATGGCAACCCTAAGCCCTAAACGCTACACCCTGAACCATTTCTGAATCAACGAGCCTTTCATTGGGCTGATGGTAGAACCCTAGCCCAGAAGCTCTTGTGGTTGAATATAAGGGCTGTAAGAATTACCTATACTATTTGGGGGAGGGGGGGGTCCTTATTATAATTGCAGTATAATATACCCCAAAACCCTATTCTTATTCTTAAGGCCCCTACATTAGAATGCGGTTTGCTACAGTGCAGGAGTTAAAGGTTCCAGAGTCCTGCACATCTGAACAGTGGATCCTGCACAGTTTTTGTTGTAGGACTTCGCCGACTTCACCCCGAGCCGCTTGTTCATCTACTACAACGAACGCCTGGTCGAGGGCAGCGTGAACCAGGATGCTGGAGCGATGATCCGCGACGGCATCAAGACGATGTCCAAGGTCGGCGTGTGCCCCGAGAGCGTTTGGAAGTACGACGACGGCCCGACCTTCTTCAAGCAGGAGCCCAACCAGCAGGCCTACGAGATCGCGCAGAAGTGCAGGGTCATGGGCTACGCCCGCGTTGCGCAGGACCTGAGCCAGATGAAGATGTGCATTAAGAGCGGTTACCCCTTCGTCTTCGGCTTTGCCGTCCTGTCAAGCTTCCAGACAGCGGAGGTTGCCAGGACCGGCAAGATGGTGATGCCCCAGGCAACCGACCAGCAGCTGGGCGGCCATGCCGTCACTGCCGTCGGCTACGACGACTTCCAGCAGTGCTTCATCGTCCGCAACTCCTGGGGAGAGGGGCAGCCCGCCTGACCTCAATCCACATCCCTTAAAAGTTTAGGTTTAGTTTTGTAGATCTCAGAGTCTTATGCCGAAGTCCATGCACCACGCATCCGGTCTTAAGGTGGGGCGACAAGGGCTACTTCTACATGCCCTACGAGTACATCTGCCACCCTTCCCTCGCCTCGGACTTCTGGGCCATCAACTGGGTGGAGGGCTTCAAGAATGCGTCCACGAAGCCGGCCACTTAGGAGCCAGATAGCTAAACTTTAGACTTTTCTGGTATAGTAAACCCCTACTAAAACAAAAGTTTAACCCTAAACCCTAACCCCTAAACCCTAAACTTTTTTGGGCCAGGGTACTGGGAAGCTAAGGCCAAGAAGTGAGCCAAGGATGCAGTCCTCCTCCGCCTTTCCTTCAGCGACGAGCTGCAGCTTGGCAGCAGACCGGACCCTAGCCCTAAACCCTAAACTCCTAGAGGGCCCCTAGGCCCTAGCACCCTAGCACCTCTATGTGAAAAAAGCAGAAACAGCCGGAACCCTGAAACTCGAAGCCCTTAGAGGCCTCAGCCCCTACGCCGTTCGCCTGCTGCTTCGGCTTTTGTCCTCGGATCTGCCACAAAACGGCAGACGGGCCAAAGAAATTAAGATCCACGTCGTTTCGCCCATGGAATATGTAAGACACATCTAGGTACGGAGTACAGCCACGAGCATGCAAAAACATGTTGCAACACCCCTCCCTTTCATATTCATGTTATGCTCCGAAGTAGCACAAACCGATATATTCTCATTACATACCAACCGTGTTATGGTATAATCAGTTCAATGTAGTTCAATCTCAGTGTAATCCGCTACAAAATCCCATGTGCATATGCGTTAGGGTTTGCGTGTGTCCACAGGCATTATGTATTGCTGACCAGCCGGCGGGAATTTATGTTCTTAGTTGCGGTGTGTGTGTGTGTGTGTGTGTGTGTGTGTGTTGGTTGTGGGTGGTTGTGTGTGTGTATTAATATATATATATATATATACATACACACATATATGTATATATATATATATATTATATATACATATATATATATATATACAAATATATATATATATATATATATGCGTTTGTTTCGGTAGTGTGTGCCGCGTAGCTTAACCTTGCTTTTGTTTAGGTTTACCAATACAATAAGTGTTACCTGACACTGAATGTTGGTTGTTACTAATGATTAGGCGACTGCTGTATAGTCCATCCATCCGGGTTCTCACAGCCACAAAATACAAAGAATCCGTGTGGTGGATGCCTCTTCCCGGAGGTGATGGATGTTGGAACTCCTCCAAAAGATTGCTTCAAGTAGCCTCCGATCGACTTATGCAGCTTGAGGTTTACAGCTTAGATTGCAGCAGGGTTTCTGAAGGCTACGTGCTACAGTGAAGCCCAGGAGGTTGGAACATGGGTTCACGATGACAAGTGTTAGCATCACTTCGGCTTTTACCTCAAAACCATGAGTCTAGTGTAAGCCCCATAAACCCTTAGGTTCTCACTTTAGGACCTCTTCCGAGGTTCGTGGAGCGCTGGACCGCCCCAAGCCTGAGGAGCTGCGGATCCCTGTAAACTCAGTGTTTTCCCAGCTTTTCAGGCGACAAAAGCCAACAAAAATGATCCGGAGAGCCCAACACGGCCTAACTTGAAGACTGTTCCTGAAGATCTTTTGAGGAATCTACTAAGGCTCCTTGGGTTCTCTGGGAAGATCCATGTATAGCACTGGCGCAAAGTTACAGAAGCTTTGGCTAGATAGTTTTGAGCAGAAGGCTGCGGAAATGACGCAGCGGCACAATGAGGCACCTTTTTTGCCTTCCCAGTGCCCCTGATAGGTATATATATAGCGGACCTATCGGCGGCGCCACTGTCAAAAGCCAAAGTCTACCGCAAGATCGGTGTGTCGAGCTTAGGGCTTAGGGTTTCGGTATAGGGGCTTGGGTTAGGGCCTTTGGGGGTTTTAGGATTTAGGGCTTCTGGCTCGGGAGCAACCTGACGGTCGGCTTCTGCTTCGGGAAAAATCCTCTCTTCACCAGGACGGAGCGCTTGTTCTTTCGATTCTTCTGACACTCTTGATTCGCACGTTCGTCGGTGCATTTTTCTAAACGGCGACTATGATATCTTGTAGTTTCGAAGGCCCGGAGAGAAGTGGTTCCGTGGACGCGGTGGGTGGCCACCAGGGCACTCAAGGTAATTAGGGTGTAGGACGCTGCTATTGAACCCTTAGCCAGTAGAACCCTCAGTCGTAAACGCCTAAGCCCTGAACCGCGAAACCTAACCCCGCAGTCACAAACCATGAAGCGTTTCTAGTACCCACGTCAAGCCCTTCAACTACCGTGTCTGTAGAACTTGTTTAATAAGCCCTCTTAGACATTTTGTAGCCGTCGAAGCAGCAAGGCGACGGCACTTTGTTCTTGGCCCAAGCTCACCGTGCAAAGCACCCACAACTCTTTAAGTTCCCTTCGCTCGCCACGCAGACAGCCTCGCGGCTGCATCTAAGTTGGGGTCCCTCTTGGAAAGTGCTGATACTAGTGGACCAAACTCTCAGTAATGCCTGGTATGAGAGGTGCTAGCAGTAACCCCTGCCTTCCCTTGTGTATTTGGCTGCCGCAAAGGGGTGTGGTTTCTATGCTTCCGAGCTTTCAGCTCCCCACCGCACAGTCTCGCCTACCTTCCTAAACCTGAAGACCCCAATCCTGACCACAGAGGGCAAGCCCGAAAGGTCCGCCAACTCTGAGAGGGGTGGGCCTACCAAGAATATGTCCTAGATTCTCAGCGTCGTGCTCTTCGAAACCGGAGCCTAAATTACATATTAATTGCGCTTGAGCCTTAGATGCAATCAAGTCGCTGACCCTGATGCTTCATTTGGCGTTGGGTTCAAACCTTCAAATCATGACCTGGCAATCGAAACCTTCAAGCCCTGTCCTTGTAGTCCCGTGATCCCGAAATCCTACATTGACATGAATCAGAGCTTCTTAGTTTGCATAGGGGCCGAAAAAATCGCCAATACTATGCTGGGGGCTCCTTATTATAAGAATACCAGTATAATATACCCCAAAACCCTATTCTAATTATTAAGGCCCCTACATTAGATGGAAACCTCGAGCAACTGGCGTATTGATACGAGCGGGGCTATCCGCATGCGGATTTTGAAGCTCTGAAGTGGGTTCACCTTTTCGCATTAGGCTTGAACCCTAAACCCTAAACCGTAAACCCTAACCCTAATTAACCCTAAACCCCAACCTGCACATCTATCTTGGCGTCGTATGAACTCCTTCATTTCAGCAGGCTAGCAGCTGCTCCTATGAATGGAGGTTTTAGCTTTCAGAATTTCGGGTTAAGCGTTTAGGGGTTTTTCGGGTGTAGGGGTTAATTTAGCTTTCAGAATTTCGGGTTAAGGGTTCAGGGGTTTTTCGGGTTTAGGGGTTTAGGGTTTAGGGGTTTAGGGTTCAAGGGTTTTTCGGGTTTAGGGGTTTAGGGTTTATAGGGTTTAGGCCGAAACCCAAAGCCCAAAACCACGGGCACCGCAAAGGCACCATGGGAGCTTGCGAGAGTGCACCGGCAACCGTGGCGGACTTCAAGGCAGGGTTACGCGCGGCTTCGTGAGTCCGAGAGACCGCTTCATCGGGGCCTTTAGGGTTGAGGGCCTGCAGGGTTGAGGAATGTTGAGGGTTTCGGGTCTATAGGTTGAGGGTTTAGGGCTCAGGGAGGAGCTAGGGAATCGGGTTTAGGACTCAGGGGTGTGCAGTTTCTGGGGTTGCCAGGCGGTCTTTGGAAACCGTAAGCCCTATAAAGCCTACCCTAGAATGAGGACCCTGGAAACCCAAACCCTAAGCCTGGCCCTATAGATTTCCGGGTTCCCGAAGTGAAGCCCCAGCTTAACCCGAAGAGCCTAGCTTTTTAAGGGCTTCTATAAATCAATCAAAAGTATGGAGCCCTAAAAAGGGTAGGTGACTTGGGGTGCAGGGCAAGAGCTGAAACCCCTTGCGGGGGCCTGTCAGCCTTGGACCCCCTAAACCCTAAACCCTA